TATATATATATATATTTTTTTTTTTTTTTTTTTTTTTTTTAACTAGAATAAACTAAATTTATTCCAAACAAACATTTATGCATAAATACATGGAGAACTTTGAAACAAATGTTATTGTAAGGATGTGAGGAAGATAAACCATATTGGCAACTAGTGTTCATCAATTTTACTTTTGTTCAACGTGTTTTTGTTTTTTTTGTTTTTTTTTAGATAGATTGTTAGTTGTAGCGATTGGGAAGCTTTACGTGGACACAGTAACATTAAGATGTGTTTAAAAAGTATTTAACCATATTTCAGAAAATTTTAGAGTTGTAAGGCCTAAATTATAGTTTTGGAAAATTTTAAAGTTTTGTAGACCCCGCGGACACCCTGGTGTAATCATATTTGGTTATCTGCAGCAAGTTTTGAAACCCCTGTTGAAAATCAAGTCTCAAGTGTATTAAAGACAGTTAAAATATTGACAGCCAACTCTCTTTAGCATCAACCCAAACTTTAACACATTATAGGGAACTCATTAAATACTCATTTAAAAGGCCCTGTAGTGTTACTGCGGAGTTATCACAAGAATCTTTTTATAATAATAAAATGTACATACAGTTATCAGTGTCAATCAGGTTACCATTTTGGGTCCTTTGCTCAATAAAAGATGAAAGAATTTGAAAATTTAAAATAGCAGTTGACAAAATAACAATTCAATTCAATTAAATTCAACTTTATTTGTAAAGCGCTTTTACAATGTAGATTGTGTCAAAGCAGCTTCACATAAATGGTCATAGTAACTGGAACAGTGTGGTTCAGGTTTTAGTGTTTAAGTTCAGTTCAGTTCAGTTTAGCTCAGTTCAGTGTGATTTAATCATTACTCACAGTTCTTCAGTTACATTACTTCAGTTCAAACACTGAAGAGCCAATTCATCGATGCGTAGCTCTACCAATCCTGAACCATGCAAGGCAGTGAACAGTAAATGCTTATAATAAATAGATCATTGTCATGCATTGTTGTGGATTCTAGTATAGTTATCTTTATCGAGACAGTAACATTTATAAATAAAGAGCCAAAAATAATTAATTCCCAACTAAACATTAACATTTCAAACATTCTGAGTTGACTGATGCATTTATAGTATGCAGACAAATCTGTCATTCTCACACAGCCCAACAACCACCAACAGGGTTAACTCGAGGATCCAACAAATCCAAACAACCACTGAAATATAATGCTTGTCGGAGAACAAGCCTCGGACTAGAGTATCCATTTCTGCAGTAAAAAGCCTGAAAACACCCACACAAGGTGTTGTATAGAGATGTCCCACTGAGAGAAAGAGATAAGGGTCAGTTATTATTGGGGTCCTGTGTGTGGGTTGATTCACTGGTTCATGACAGGAAACATAAAATGCTTTATTGAGAGGACAAAGGTTTTCTGGCAAATTAGGCACTGCTCAAGTTTCTTCCTATCACTCTCTCTAAGCTATTCTGGTAGGCAATGGGTTTGGTAATAGTGTAGGCTTATATACAGTGGAGATCAAAATTAGAGAGCAAACTACAATTTCCTACAGTCTTATTTGAAGGAGCAAAAGAGCATTATTTTAAGCATGGCTCGTAAAAACATTTCATACAGCTTGTCTAAAGATTTAAATTAGATATTTAAACACTGGTCTAAACTACAGACCAGATTCCTCTCAGTTATTGGTATTTATCTGGCACTTGATTTAGAGAATATGGGGTGTAGTGACCAATTCTCTCAAAGTGATCTAACCTGCTATTGTGAGGTCAGAGAACTGTAAAATTATGTGAAATGGAAAAAAACAGTTTTAAACCTAAAACTTTGAAATAATGAAATGCCAGCCCAAAGACCTGACCTAAACCTGATTGAAAATCTTGATTGAAAATCTAATGAAAATTGTGGCTACAAATGTACAATTCTGATGTCAAATGTACTACTGCAAATGTCATTCACACGGAGCAAGAGCCTGGACACTTTCTACACATTTCTGACTTCTGCAACCTTTAGAAATTTTAGTTGTAATATTTCTTTGTGCAACAATCATAGCTGCTATCTAATAGCATTTTTGTAAAACACTGTTCTATTAGCTATTAAATACTCTTATATGAAAGAGGAAGATTGATATTTCTTTTTTAAAAACCAAGTGTTTATAAATTCCTAGTTTTGATCTCCATTGTATTTGATACAGAGCATTTTTTATAGATTATGTGCAACCCTGACACTGTACCACATTATGATTGTGGATGTTTCTCCATCTAAGCAATGTAAAGATCTGGCACAGCAGCTCTGAGTCTCTCAACCAAATCAGTTTTTATTGGACCTTCACTGGCAGCGGCCATAAACATCCTGCTCGCTCCTGTACAGCCCAGCTGTGAGTTATTACTCAGGGTTGCGGGGACATGCCAGAACTGGTGCACCTTTTCCAATATTTTTTCCCCATAGAATTACTCTAGACATGAATGGAATAAGCAAAGAAGCTTATTGTGAGATTAAAATTAATTTGCGTTTGTTATCCAAATATGAAAATAATTTAAATATACAACACCTGTAGTCTGCTGTTACACATACACATTGTCACACATGCAGATACACAGTAAAACAAAGACAAGCCTGTGATGTTCATTCATAATAATTCTCTAATTGTACCAGACTGAGGATTAAAGAACTGACAGCTGATTAAACGGGTATATTTAAGCTTTTTTAAATATATTCTCTTTAACTGTATTAATTGATGTTTAAGGAAAGAACAAAGCTGCAATCTTTGAAGCTGTGTTTTTCACTTTTAATTATTTAAATTGAAATGAGCGAGAATGTGGAGGATGTCTTTACATCCCATGTCTTTATGGACTTGCATTTTATTCATTTTTAATCCAAGCCTAAAGAAAACAAAAACCACAGACACTTATTGCTTATTATATCTTAGTGGGTTGTACTGATAACACTTTACAATGAGAACTGTTAGTTAATGCATTAACTAAAAATGTAAGAAGTAATTTGTTACAGCATTTATTAATTTAATGTTTTATAATAAAAATGTTGATCATTGGTTCATGTTAGCACTGTTCCATCAAATAATATTTACTAATATATTATTTTAAAAAATACATTTATTCATGTTCCAGTTGAGGTTAAGGCAAATCTACATTGGTAAAAATCTAAATTTTTTGTTAATAAAACAATTAATAAAAATACGTTTTGTGTCTTTCTATTTTTAAAAATGTGATTTGCTGTTACTATTTTTATTAGCTGTGAAATTGGCAATAGGTTAGTGGTGTGCTTTACATATTCAGTTGAAGTCAGAATTATTAGCCCCCCTTTGATTTTTGTTTTTTGTTTTTTAAATATTCCCCAAATTATGTTTAACAGAGCAAGGAAATTTTCACAGTATGTCTAATAATATTTTTTCTTATGGAGAAAGTGTTATGTGTTTTATTTCGGCTAGAATAAAAGCAGTTTTTAATTTTTTAAAAACCATTTTAAAGTCAAAATTCTTAGCCCCCAACTATTTTTATTGATAGTCTACAGAACAAACCATCGTTATACAATAACTTGCCTAATTACTCTAACCTGCCTAGTTAACCTAATCAACCTGGTTAAGTCGTTAAATGTCACTTTATGCTGTATAGAGGTGTTTATGGAAAATAATTAATCAAATATTATTTACTGTCATCATGGCAAAGATAAAATAAATTAGTTATTAGAAAAGAGTTATTAAAACTATAGAAAAGTGTTGAAAAAAATCTCTCGGTTAAACAGAAAGTGGGGGGGAAATAAACAGGGGGCGACTAATTCCACTAACTTCAACTGTAAATATCAAATATATGTCTTTCTATTTACAATTTAGGTTCAATTCAATGATACAAATTTTAAGTAAATACTTTGAAATATTTACAAGCATTTCTAAGTGAAATTTGTGTGAAATTAATTTTTCATTGAATAAAATAAAATCTATTCTTTTTACTTTTTCATCAGTTAGTTCAGTGCTGTGTATTTTAATGCTTATCTATATAATTAGAAAATGCTTATCTTCCTTGTTCATATAATTATAGTTAATAGCTAATAGAACACTGTATTTTACTTTTCGCATGGCAACATAATACCAAACTCTTTTGAAATCCATTGCTTGTCTAGTCTCTATTGGGTGTGGAGTACTATTTGTGTCCCACTCTTAGATGCAGTCTTCCAAATGAGTTTCCACGATAGTTATAATGCTGCCCATGTAGGCAGTTGGCGGCGAGGCATCTTACTAGGTTTTGGAACAGAGCTACTGTCTGTCACCATGGAGATTTACCGCAGAACTTCAATAGTCAAGCAAAGCTCAGATTGAGAGATGCAGTCAGATCTCACTGAGGTTCAACAAGGGAGGAACAGCGCCATCTATAGGACCAAACTAAACCTCCATAAAACAACACCATTGGAATGCATTAGACATTGACTCTTTTCCAAGGACACCACTGAAACCTGTTCACTCAAATCTCTAACATCCATTACAAAGCACATTTTCATAAATGACCGATGCAGACGGGCCATTCACTAGACACCATTTAGATTCATTCATTTTGTGGAGGCTTTCATCCACAGCCAAGTGAGCATGTTTTTTATGGAAAATTACATAAAATAATGGTTGTTTTATTTTATTATTGATGATTCAGTGTAGATCCTTTATATTCCAAGCACTCTTAAAAAGAAAGGATCTTTATACATATTACATATCACATTTATACATATAACATTCTAAAGCATTTCTGCATACATTATGGTGTAAAAATTGTTTTTAGACTATTACTATATTCTTTAGAAGAGAAAAGTTTTAATTATTATTATTTGCATTATTAAAAGTTTGTTGTCTAAAATGTTCTTTGGGATGCACAAAATGATTTTTCTATGCCTTTATTTTTCAGTGTGCATATAGACATGCATAGATTAACCATACAAAAAGCTGGTAAATGATTTGTACTCGGCGTTAAGTGACCGTGAAACAGACATATTAACATCAGACTTACCTGATATGATGGGAGCCAGACGAAAAATATCAGACAGACGGCTGTTTACGGGCTCATATGGCGAGTCTTCCAATAAGTCATTAGCTGCAAGCAAAAAAGTAAAATAGTAAAAAAAAAATTCACAGAACTACAACTTTTGAAGTTTATACACTTTGTTATAAATGTCCTCTTGTCCAGCATTCTCATGACTGGACTCTCATGGATTCTGCTTACCCTGTAAACTTTGATATATACTCCAGAAGATGCGCAGGCAGTTCTTTTCTTTCTTCATTCCTCTCCTGCACTTGCAGTCATACAGAGGACTCTGTTTCATCGACTCTATGGCGTTCCTGCACTCGTCCTGCGCCTCTGGTTCAGCCAGCATGCTGAAGTTACCGGTTCTCCCGGCCACACACTGTCTCATAGTGCGGTACTTGGTGCTGCATCCGTACTTTCCCAAACACTGTTCATGAGCCCTAACGCAGTCCAGCCGAACCGAGCGAGACTGTGCGATCGCATCTGCCTTTGAGAAGTGCACTAAATCTGTGCGGGGAAAAGACAAAGTTAGACGTGAATACCATAGAATAGGAAAACTGGTTGGCAGAGTATCATCACAATGCTCTAATTGTTTAATGAAGATGATAACACTTACCTTCTAAGTTAGAAGACCCAATTCAAACAATTAGAGACAACTTATATGATAAAAGACAAAGACACTCAAATGTTTTATTCTAGTTCCTGCTATAAATTTATTTTTCGTTTCAGGCATTGTAATAATAACATTGCAACTCGTATGCATCTTAATTACAAGTGCGTTTCGCACAGCTGTAAGCCGCAAACAAACGTTGGAGCACATGGATTTCAACTTACCAAGCACAGGAAACATTATCCAAAAAGTTGCGAATATCATCGTCGCTTTATTCAGATCCATTCAGAGAGCAGAGAAACTGGTTAAATACGACATAGAACAAATTCCACAATAAATCCATTGCGCGCCAGCTGCGCACTGGCGAGGAACAAGTGATCAGACATCATATACACATCCGGACAGACTCCAACAAGCGCCGAGTGCTGCTGTGGTGGACACACCCCACGAGGAGATAATAAAAAAAGCAACAGGCTATTGAGAATTTAAAAAATAATACTAAGATTAAAAAACTATGAGTTATATTCAGACTTTTGATTTCTTCTTTATCAAATCTTCAACAATCGTTTAAAACAACGGCTTGCCTTAAAATATACAAGAACATTACGAAATGAATAAAAGTTAACGTCAGTCCACATTACATGTCAAACATGGGTGCTGTTTCGCTCTCAGTTGACCGACAATATGCATGTAAGGTCGAAGAACGCGCACTCTGTGGGAGAACACTGCGCATGTGCTCGGGTCTGGAGAAGGTCGGTCCTTTTGGCTCAGTTAGACAGTAAGTATTCGCTGATTAGGCACCATTAAGCACTTTACTTAATAAGAATTATCCAAAGACTGTCCAAGCATAAATGGAATCCACTTTGCGATCCATATCTGACACCCTGTGTGCGAATTATTGTCTGTCGACGTTTTTTTTTTTTTTTACCTTCCTTCCTCCTTGACACTTTTAGGTTGGTTTCGCCTATACACAAATTGTCCTCTAATGTTTAATATGAATTATGTAGACAAACACAAAGTGAAGCTGTTTCTGATATGTAAATGTAATAACTGACAAAGAATGTCATTAATTATGTTATCGTTGTACGAAACAGCGTTACCTCGAGGACAGGTGAAGGCATCTTTATCTTTAATGTATAGCGCATTAATGAAACGTCTTTGGAAAATGAGAACACACTCTTTTTAGATACTCAACCTTTAAACCACGTCAGTTTCTGTGTTCAACACAGCTAACAAAAGCAAATATGACGTCATTTAGCAATTGTTTGCTCTTATATGTTGCTTTTAGGGTAGCTTACTCAGAAATTATGAAGCCATCACTTTAGGGCTACCCGTTAAGATTTCTGTGTTATTTATTTATGCCTTTTGTATGATGAAAACCTCTCATAAAAAAAAGTTTTATTTCTTATTTGAGCGAATGGCGGAAATAAAAGCATGAGCGCCACCTGTGTACTAAAGACTAGTATAACAGCTGGCAATTCTATTCATTCAGTGGAGCAGTAGTACTTAGGAATGTCTAAATGTGCATATAGAATCCATATTAATAATAAAGTTATATTATTGCATATTCAGGATATTTTATTATTATTTTATTATTTTATTAATCCATTATTATCAGAACTAATCATTTAACATATTTACACTGATGTAAAATGTTCTCAGATCACTAATAAACTTTACACTTTGTAAATATGAATCAGAAGACTAGCAAAACAAAGCATATAATTACAGTCAAATTGATGAAACATCTGCCATGTGGTCATTATATCTTCATGCAGTGCCCCTGCAAGTAATTTCACTTTTTTATCTCTCAGATTGATCTATAAATGTTGATCCAATCATGTTTCCTTTATGTATGTCATATAGCAATTGATTTATCCTGGGTTGTTAACAAGCTCAATTCCACTAAAATCCAACAGACATCTGTTTTTTCTGTTTAATGACATTTTCAAAAAACATGAAGAATTAATTACACAGAGCTTAAATCATTAGCAATTGCCTGACATGCAGTAAACCAGTAAAACTAATGAGATTGCATAGGCATACTAAACTTGATTAGAAACTCAATATGTGATCAATACTTACCTTTAGGTTGTGTGAAGTCTAACCATCTAGGAAATGAGCTCTGCTGGATTTATTGTTGGTTAATCAAAGACATTGTCGGATGCCGATGGATAATGTGAATAACAGCATCACACAAAAGATGCACCATTGATCCAGCCATGCTTTTGCAGACAATTACCTTTCTTTGAAACCTGGCAATAAATCTGTCAGAGAGACAGAAAGCACATAGCTAAAACATTTCCTGAATGGAATTTGCTGACTCTAATTGATCATTCGTTCACATTCACAGGCCACTTTATAAGGCACACCTTGTTAGTACCAGGGTGAACCCTTTTGCATTCAGAACTGCCTTTACCTTTAACTACCCTTCCAAGAAAAAAAAATAATGTTTGGATTGCATTTCTTAACTCCTAATGTCACTAGTTAACACGATCAATGCATTGTTTTCAACACATCCCATCATTTCTAAAATATCAGTCTTTACCAAATGGTGGATATGTCGGTTTATGGCAAAAGTCATTCATATTAATACATATAATATCAAAAATCTAAAAATGTGACGTTTAAGACCAATTTATTTAAAAAATTCAAAATAAAACATTTTTGAACCAAAATAAAGTGTAGTAGTGCAACAGTTTGTTTGATTTTTCTTTTTTAAGCCAACAATGTTGTGTGTGTAAGCCATTATATAAAATGGCTTACAAAAAGTCTTTAAATGACTTTAAAGTCATTATTTATAACAGTAAAAACATGGTCAACCATTTGGTAGAGGTGCAGTCAAAGGGGTATACACACACATACAGTGGGTATGAAAAGTATTCAGATCCTCTTAAATCCTTTATTTTATATTTCAGTCATTGGCTAAAATCATTTACGTTCATTAACATTTTTCTCATTAATGTACCCTTTTCTAGTCTAATGGACCTCAGACTTGGCCGGGCCGAAGGTTTACATTTCAACAAGACAATGACCCTAAGCACACGTCTAAAAATGTAAAACAACTCCGTGGCTTTTCTTCAATTGCCCAGCCAGAGCCCTGACCTAAACCAAATCGAGCATCTCTGGAGAGACCTAAAAATGTCTGTCCACCAACGTTTACCATCCAATTGGACAAAACTGGAGAGGGTCGGCAAGGAGGAATGGCAGAGGATCCTCAAATCCAGGTGAGAAACTTGTTGCATCTTTCCCAAAAAGACTCATGGCTGTATTAGATCAAAAGAGTGCTTCTACTAAATTCTGAGCAAATGGTCTGAATATTTAGAACCATGTGATGTTTCAGTTTTTCTTTTTAACAAATCTTCAAAAATTGTCAACAATTCTGTTTTTCTGGCAATATGGGGTGCTGCTACATTTAATGAGGAAATAAAAATTAACTAATGATTTTAGCAAATGGCTGCAATATAACAATGTGTAATTTTTTTTGGAGGGCTGAATTCTTTCCGTACCCACTGTAAACATTTTATTGTACTATAGAAGCAAGGCTACTGGTTTCCAGCATTCTTTAACATTTATTACAGTATGTTCAACTAAAAAAAGGTTTAGTACCACAAGAGGCTGAGTAGATTTTTATTTGTGGGCAAACTGTCGCATGTTATGGCATAGGTTTAACATAGATGCAGGCGATTTTGAGCCATATTGATGTGATATCATAATGCAGTTACTGGAGATTCATCTCCTATTTTCCCAAATATGCTCTATTGGATTAAGTTTGGTGGCTATGGGGGCCATTTTAGTATAATGAACTCAAGTTCAAGAATCAGTGAAAGGATTTGAGCTTTGTGACATATGATCCACTTGGAAGAAACCATCATTATGTTTTATTTATAAGGTTTATTGTCTGAGGGGAAAACTTAGTTTAATGGGTGTTGGATTACTGTAATAGAAGAAACATTATGTAACGCAAGGGTAGTATAAGGTCTTGTGGATGTCAAGGATGGTGCATATTAAGACTCCATTGTACATATGGTTAAAGCACTTGATATATAAAACACTTGATGTGATTGCAGAATGCAGACTGACTATGGATTGTAGTAATTTGAACATACGCTATGTCCATATGTGGATTCACATACAGTATAAAAGCAGTCTCATCAAACAGAGTGCATCTCCATTTACCTAGTGTTAAAAAGAAAATCAATGGGAGATTTGTGGCAGGAAGTCTGTATATTCTCTGTGGCCTTTTCCTTCATTCAGAGAGCGTGAGGTTTGTTCTGTTTCTACCCCACAAATCTTAACCCTCATTTGGTCTGAGACTGTAAAAATGGGGAGAGCTGTAAAATTCAACTCCCAAGAATAATCCTTAAGAATGGCTCTCATTCATCACACTTAGAAACACACACACAGTATGGTGGTAAGCAATATTCTGGAGCAATCGATTGAGAGTAATTTGATCTGTGTCATCTGTACAGTTAATTGATTGCTCGTTTTCGAAAGCCATATTGGTGTGTAAGTGCATCCGGTCCATGTAGATGCCATTATGTGCTTGATCCCCATTATAACATATTAATTAGAAGAGAAAAGAAATGGCGTTCCTTTTCCTCTTCGTATGGCAAATGTGTTCAGTAGGAACATTTGTCTTTGAACAGCTAGGATGTAATTAAGTCACGTTTGAGGAACAGTAATTGCTGACTTTGATGATTCCTTTTGATTACTTGATCAAAGAAAAGAAAATTGCCTCAGTTTCAGCCTGTCAGCTAATAGACTTCCACTGAAGGCCTTTGGAAGTTGCAGAGATCACTGTGCATGGCGGGTTGAATTCAGAGCACACGGTTGATCAAAACCAACTCAAAATGACCAAGGAAGGAATTCCAGAACGTTCAGAAAATATGACTCCTTTTGATTTGCTTCTGTTTTTATTCATGTTCAAAAACCCATTGATTTTTTTTCTTGTTTAATAATACCATTCAAGAGTATTCCTCTCCAAATTTAACACTGACCAAAGGAAAAGAATTACATGTCTCATTTACAAACTACTGACATTTCTCACAAGTGGCTTTCTTCAATTCTCTCTCTTTAAGTGGGTGAGTAAGTGAAGTGCTGATGAGGTTGTTGATGTCTGGACAGATTCTCCCACTCATTTTAGCCTGCTGCTCATTTTCTTCGACAATTGCTCCTCTTGTCTGTTTGCTCAGTCTGATGGGATGTTCTGATTCTAGCAATAGTGTCTACACTACCTGAAAAAAGTCTTAATATCGATCCCATTTGTAAGAGAAACACATAAT